TCCACGTGCTCCTTCATGTTCTTGGAGTAGATGAGAATGTCGTCCAGGTACACCACCACGCACTCGTCCAGCAGGGGTCGTAAGATGTGATTCATCTCCGCCTGAAACGTTGCTGGTGCGTTGCAGAGTCCGAACGGCATCACCAAGTATTCGTAGGAGCCGTATCTGGTACGGAACGCTGTCTTGTGGACGGAGTTGTCTGCCATCTTGATCTGCCAGTAGCCCGATCGTAGGTCCAGCTTCGAAAATAATGTTGCTCCACGCAGTTGATCGAGTAGGTTGTCTATGCACGGTATGGGATATTTGTTTTTGATTGTCTGTTTGTTCAGTGCACGGTAGTCGATGCACATCCGTAGACTGCCGTCTGGTTTTGGAGTGAAGAGAACTGGTGCGCCGTAGGGAGAGGTGGATGGGCGGATCAGTTGTCTGTCCAGTAGATACTCTATCTGTTTTTTCATGTCTGTCAGTTCAGTCAGACTAAGTCGGTATGGTGCACGTGAGACGGGTTTCGCACCTGGTTCCTCCACGATCTCGTGCTCGTGGGTGCGTGCTGGAGGTACGCCTGCAGGTAGGTCGTCGGGCATTATATCCTTGTACTGCTCCAAGACCTTTTTCACTGCTGCAGGTAGCTCGGAACTCGGCTTCTCCTCCTCTGCTGCTGCCATAACCAGTGCTAGGTAACCCGTGTTACTCTTGTTCACCGTCTGTTCGAACCGTGCCAGTGTCGTTTCAGGTACGTCCCCTGTATCCGTCCAGCTTCGCAGTGCTATTCGCTTCCCATTGTTGTAGATGCACACCTTGCTGTTGACCCAATCGATCTCGGGGTTGAACCGCTTTAGGAAACCTCGCCCCAAGATAAAATCTAATCCTTTGATGTTGGTGACTGGTAGCTTCGGCTTCCACCTCAACGCACCTATATGCAGTTGCAGTGATGCTTCGCCGTGGATAGGAAGCTTCGTACCGTCCACCATGGTTGCTGAAAACTGGGTCTCTTCCGCCTTCTCTCCAATTTTCTCCAATGCTCCGCGGTCACACACCGAGTGAGATGCACCGCTGTCCACCAGTGCCTGGAGGCGTCGCCCATTGCATAACACCTCGAGGAGTAGTGGTTTCTGCTGTGCTGAGTAGCCAAAGAGGGTCTCGTTAATAGGATCATAGGGTACATCAAACTTAATACCTTCCCTTTTTCCTATACCTGACTCAGTGCTTTCCAACTTCACCTGGGGGGTAGGAGGATTTTTCCGAGGCTTGTATAATTTTTCCTGAGCCTGGATGTCTCCTCTAAGCCTTGGCAGCTGTGTAGGCTTCACCTGTGGGCGACGAGGAGCCTTAACACTGTGCTGCGGGGAGAGAATATTAATTACACAAAACGCACGACCCTTTTCTACGCTCCGTAGTACTTTGCCCAACTTCTCAGGTACCTGAATAATTTCTAAAGGCTTTTTCTTGGCCTCTAGACCTCCCCTGAATTTTTTGAAGGCTTGTAAACCACGAGAAGCAATATTCTTCGTTAGAGCATCTTTATAGGATACTTTTAACGAATTCTTACTTTCGTGGGTGTTCGGCTGGAGTTTCCCGGTCGGTGCAGAGTCTTTTTTCGCGGAGCCTCCATTCGCCTCGGCGATTTCCCCTGATGCCGGCCGGTCGTGACGTTTTAAATCCGCGCCATCATTTTCTCCTTTTTTCACCCGCTCCGAAGTCGCCACGTCGTCGCCTTTTCCTGCTTTTCGGATCTTTACGCGATCGCCAGGTCGATCCGCGGCTACTGGCGATTCCCGTTTTTTGACTTCGGGGGTGCTCCAGTGTTTCCGTCCCGGAGTGCCGCACGTGCTTTCTTCATTTTGTAGCACGACAAAAACTGATGTCCTGCTGCGCCGCAAAATTCACATTTTGTCGGCTGCTGCTTCGCGTTGTATTTGTCGATATCCATCGGTTCGGTGAACGTGGGGGGTGCCGATCGCTCCGTGCCGAATGTACGGTTCGGCGTGAAGCGTCATGTTTCGGGTTGACTTCGAGTCAGCGCGTCGTATCGCTCGGCAGCACGCACGATGTCTCTGTAGCTGTTGTAATTCGCCGCAATCACCTGCCGCCGAATCTCCATTTTTAATCCTTCACTGTACGCCTGAATTTTTTCGCCTTCGGTTAGGTCGGTGATGCGGTTGAACAGTAACTCCATCTGCTGCGTGTACTGTGTTACACTACTGTATTGCTTGTGTCGGTGTATCTTCTGCCGCGCCATGTAGGTTGTATTAATTGGTTCGAAACGCTCAATTAAATCTGCCCGAAACTGCTGCCACGTTTTCTCCCCGCGGGCTACGTCGGTGTAGTAAATCCATTCGAGAGCCGGTCCACGTAACAGTGTCGCTGCGAGCCGAATCCTTGCTGCGTCGTGTTGCGGGGTCGAACAGCCAATGGCCTCGAAGTAAATTTCGAGGGTGGCCACGAATCGCCGGACGTCGGATCCCTTCGCGCTTGGATCGAACGCCTCCGGGAGCCTCGGTCGTGCTGCTTCGAGGTTCGGCGACAGTGGTGCCATTGGTCCGTGAAATGTCAGTGTCGCCACTGCTGCTGGAGTTGTCGGTGCTGCAGTCGCTGTGGTCGCTGCTGCTGCGGTGGCGAACCCTGGTTGGCTTGTCAGAAAAGCCTCGAGTCGACGAAGCGTCGCCTGCGTCTGCTCCATGTCGGTGCGGAGGCTCGCGATGTCGCTCGTAGTCGCGTAGTTGTCGCCTTGGCCCTCCATTTGGTGATTTACAGGAAGATGCGCGACGAAAATAATCGAATTCTAGGTGCTGGTCGACTTACTGCGAATCAAATTGACTGTAGAATCGACGAGCGCGAATTCTGTAGGTTGCGTAAATCTCCCTTAGGCAAAATTCGCGTCCGATCTTGGCCGTTGAGGAGAAAATCGATCCGACGCTCCACATTCCAACTTTTTTGGGCGAAATTCTCTGGGCCGTTGAGATGAAACTCGATTGAACGGTCGAAACTCCAACCTTTCCACCAGTAAATCTGAGGGGTGTTCGAAAACCGAATCGAGGGGGACTTAGAAAAAGTGCGCGGAACTGGTTTTACATACCCGTATCGGCGCTTTCGTCGTCGCCCCCGCGGTTTTTAAAGGCCGGAACTAAGCGGTTGAAGACCTCGCGTGTAAACCCGCTCTGATAACCAAGTGTGAGGATCTGGGATCGAGCTCAGAAAAGATGATTCAAATTGAATTGAATTGAATCGAATTGAATGTCCACCTGGGTACAACACGAGGCTATATATAGGCTCGACACAAGGCCCCGTAGCCAGGTGTTACGCGAAGGTTCCGCGGGTCGCGAAGCGTCCCGAACAGATCCTTACTGAATTCGGTAGAAGGCAATTCGGTGGCAACCGAAAAGCCAGAATTCGGTGCACGCAACCTAGCTCGGTGCTATAACTATAATAAAATATAGGAAAGCACCTAGCCTAGGAAATCAAGCAATTCATGCATGCATATAAATATCCTATGCTAGAAATAGCATGATAAAAGTAAAGGCAAGCAAGCATAGCTGGCATAAGCCGTCGTACTCTCACACCTAGTGGGAACGCTACCTAGGGCCCACCACGATTTTTTTTCCTGCCCGGAGCGCGCCTTAGACTAGACCGAGTCGCGCGCGCCCCGTGTGCCCTCCCTACCATCGCGCCGCCCTTTGTGGCCCCTTGCGCTGCCCGTCGACCCCACGCGCCGCCCTAGCGGCCCCTCCTTGCGCCACCCGTCGACCCCGCGCGCCGCCTTAGCGGCTCCCTGCGCCACCCGTCGACTCTGCGCGACGCCCTAGCGCCCCCCCCCCCCCTGCGCCGCCCGTCGACCCCGCGCGCCGCCCTAGTGGCGCTTTACGCCACCCGTCGACCCCGCGCGCCGCCCTTGCGGCCTCGCCGCCCTTACCTGCGGCCCTGCCGCCCTCACCTGCGGTCCCCGCCGCCCTTACCTGCGGCCCCGCCGCCCTCACCTGCGGTCCCCGCCGCCCTTACCTGCGGTCCTCGCCGCCCTCAACTGCGGCCTCGCCGCCCTTACCTGCGGCCTCACCGCCCTCACCTGCGGTCCCCGCCGCCCTTACCTGCGGCCTCGCCGCCCTTACCTGCGGCCTCGCCGCCCTCACCTACGGTCCCCGCCGCCCTCAACTGCGGCCTCGCCGCCCTTACCTGCGGCCCAGCCGCCTTCCCTGCGGCCCCGTCACCTGCTGCAGCGCCGCCCGCCACCTGAGCCGCCCGGGCCGCCTCACCTCGCCGAGCAGCCGACCGTCGCGCCGCCCTGCAGCAGCACGGCCGAGCCGCCCAGCAGCTGAGCAGCCGAGCAGCCGAGCCGCCCAGCACCCGAGCAGCCGAGCCGCCCTGCAGCCGAGCCGCCCAGCAGCCGAGCCGCCCTGCAGCCGAGCCGCCCAACAGCCGAGCCGCCGAGCCGCCCTACCTCCGAGCCGCCCAAGCAGCCCCGTCCGGTGAGCACAGTGCCTCTTTTCTTGCACTGCCCTCACCCTACTGTTGCACTGCTAGTCTACTGTGGTCATGGCTACCCCTAGTGTCCTCGCTTTTGACGCTGAGGGTCGAGCCATTGACTTTGACGTCTGGGTAGATGACCTGCAGCTGTTTTTACAGTGTGATAGGGCAGACGGTCTCTCACTCTTTGACCTCACCTCTGGCGCCTCTCCTGCCCCTGCTGCTGATGCCGACGCCACTGTTCGCTCCAAGTAGGCCACGCGCGACGCTGCTGCACGTCTTGCTGTGCGTCGCCACCTCCCTACCTCCGAGCATGCGCACTTTAGTCAGTACAAGAGTGCTCAGACCTTGTACGACGCTGTAGTTGCGCGCTACTCCTCCCCTGCCACTGCTGCACTGAGCCGTCTCATGCTACCGTACCTCTTCCCTGACCTTGCTGCCTTTCCCACCGTCGCTGACCTCATTACGCACCTCCGCACTAGTGACACTCGCTACCGCGCTGCGCTTCCTGCTGACTTCTGTGCCAAGAACCCCCCCCCCCCATGTACATCACTCTCTACTACATACTCACTCGCCTCCCTGACTCCCTTCGCGTAGTCAGGGACCACTTCCTCTCAGTCTGTTCCACCACTCTCACTGTTGACCTCCATGAGAAGTCCCTCCTAGCGGTCGAGAAGAGCATAGTTGCTGTAGGGGCCTCTCGTGGTGACCCGCGCACCCCCATCTTTGAGGGGTGTTCCCCCTCCCCCCTTCTGCCCTCTGTTGCCTCTGCTGCTGCGGCCGACCTCCTTGGTCTTGAGTCGGTCGGTGCGGCGTCTGCCCCTAGCGGGAGACGCCGCTCTGGTAAGGGCAAGGGGGGCAGGGGCACTGGAGGGGCGAGCGGGGGCGGTGGAGGTGGAGGTGGAGGCGGCGGGGGGAGTGGGGGTGGCGGTGGGAGTGGTGGTGGGGGTGGAGGTGTCGGTGGCAGCAGTGGAGGCGGAGGCGGCGGCGGCGGTGGCGGTGGGAGCGGAGGTGGCGGAGGTGGTGGCGGTGGAGGAGGCGGCGGAGGCGGCGGTAGTAGCGGAGGCGGCGGAGGCGGCGGGGGTGGCGGTGGAGCTGGTCGCGGGTCTACGCAGAGGAGTGGCTCCGGTGGTGGTCCGCGCCAGCAGCAGCAGCGCGGTTGTGAGACCCTGTCCCCTCAGCAGCTCCGTGAGTGGTACACTGCACGCCAGCGGGGTGGGGGTTTTGGTCCGTGCACCTACGTCCTGCGCACCGGCGACCGTGCGGGTGAGCAGTCTGGGGGTGCGCACCCCACCCAGCGCAGCTTTGGCCGCCTGACGGACGCGTGGTGTCACCAGTTCCCGGAGGCCACAGAGATCCCTCGCTGGGGCGAGCTGTCTAGGGCGGGTGTTGCCATCTATGATCTTGATTTTGATGCTATTCTTTCTGCCATGTATGCTGTGTCTATTAGTGATGAGGGTGACTGTTACCGGTGTTTCCCGCCCGATCCGGGCATTGAGACTGCTGCTCTAGGTACTGGTGAGGCGGCTGCCCTAGGTGCTTGCGACGCTGCTGCTCTAGGCGCTAGTGCGTCTGCGTCCTCAGGTATTGGTGAGTCTGCGCTCTCAGGTACTACGCCGGCTTCGGCCTCCCTCACCTTCACCCTTGACTCTGGGGCTTCTGGCTCCTTCTTTTGGGACCGCACCACACTCACGCCGCTTAGTCGGCCGGTTGCGGTGTCTCTCGCTGACCCCTCTGGGGGTCCTGTCCTGTCTAACTTCTCCACAGTCCTCCCGTGTCCGGCGGCTCCCTCTGGCACCCTGTCTGGTCTCTACCTCCCCTCGTTCTCTACGAACCTGGTGAGTGGTGCTGACCTACAGGATGGGGGAGTACACCAGTTCACTCCTGCGCGTCAGTGGGTGACGCACTGTACAGAGGCTAACAGAGGCCGACACCTGGCTACGTTTACCCGTCAGCAGGGGTCGAGCCTGTACACACTGACCACTGCGTCTCCTCCAGTTGTTGAGTCTGGTAGGGTCGCTGCGTCGGGTCAGGTGTTTGCTGCAGCGTCCAGGTCTGGTCCTGAGTCTGCCCCCTATTCGTGTCGTCTCCTGTCTCACGAGACTCTCCTCTGGCACCACCGCCTTGGTCACCCCTCTCTGCTTCGGCTCAGAGGCATGGCCTCCCGACTTCTTGTTTCTGGTCTCCCTCGGTCCCTCCCTCCCCTTCCTCAGGGCCCTGGCTCTACCTGTGTCCCCTGTGTCGAGGGGCGCCAGCGGGCTGCCCCTCACTCCTCCCAGTTTTCTCCGACAGAGGCCCCGTTGCAGACGCTTCACATGGACGTGTGGGGCCCAGCCCGCGTCCGTGGACAGGGTCACGAGCGCTACTTCCTGCTCGTTGTTGACAACTACTCGCGTAACACCGCAGTCTTCCCCTTGCGCAGCAAGGGTGATGTCACTGAGGTGCTGATCGTTTGGATCCGCGCAACTCGTCTCCAGCTCAAGCAGAGCTTTGGCTCGGACTTTCCTGTTCTGCGTCTGCACTCGGACAGAGGCGGAGATTTTTCTTCTGGCCTTCTGAGAGCCTACTGTCGCGCATGAGGAATCCGTCAGACCTTCACGCTTCCGGACTCCCCACAGCAAAATGGGATTGCTGAACGCCGCATTGGTATGGTCATGGACGTCGCTCGTACGTCTATGATGCATGCGGCTGCTCCCCATTTTCTGTGGCCATTTGCGGTGAGGTACGCGACGCATAAGATCAACCTACACCCCAGGGTCTCCAGGCCGGAGACCTACCCAGCCTTGCTGTGGACGGGGAAGGTTGGCGATGCGTCGGCGTTCCGGGTCTGGGGATCTCGGGCGTTTGTCCGCGACTTGTCTGCGGACAAGCTATCCCCTCGTGCTGCTCCTTGCGTCTTCCTGGGGTTCCCCCCTGACGCGCCTGGGTGGCAGTTCTACCACCCCACCTCTCGCCGTGTTCTGTCCTCCCAGGACGTCACCTTTGACGAGTCGGTCCCCTACAACCGCCTCTTCCCCTACCGCACCCCGTCCCTCCCCCCGCCGCCACTCTTGCTTGTACCAGGTCCCTCTCCGGTAGACCCCCTCCCCCCTCAGGGTCCGTCCCCTTCAGGTGTGTCCCAGGTAGACGCAGTCGAGCCTGTCGAGGTCACTGGTGACTCTGGTGCTGCTGAGGGTGCTGAGCCTGGGGGTGCTGACTCTGGGGGTGCTGAGCCTGGGGGTGCTGAGCCTGGGGGTGCTGCGACTGGGGGTGCTGAGCCTGGGGGTGCTGAGCTTGGGGGTGCTGAGCCTGGGGGTGTTGAGCCTGGGGGTGCTGAGCCTGGGTGTGCTGAGACTATGGGTGCTGAGCCTGGGGGTGCTGAGCCTGGGTGTGCTGAGCCTGGGGGTGCTGAGCTTGGAGGTGCTCCGCCTGGAGGTTCTCCGGGTGCTTCGTCTCTGCGGGAGCCACTCTCTCCACGGGAGCTGCGCGAGTGGTTTGCCCGGCGCTGGAGGCGTGCTGCTGGTGCTGGAGGTTCTTCGGCTACTGAGGGTGCTGCTATCGCGGGTCCCGAAGGTGCTCGTACTTGGAGTACTGGAGCTGCTGGGCCTGCGGGTTCGACTGGAGCTGGTGCTGCTGAGGGTGTTGGAGCTGAGACTACTGCTGGCGGTCCTGCTGCGGGTACTCCTGGTACCGCTGGAGGTTCTGGCGCTGCTGGAGGTGCAGTTGGAGCGGGTGCTCCTGCTGGGGGTACTGGTGCTGTACCTGCTGTGTCTGGCGTCGCCGCGCGGCCTCGACCGTACTTCGTTCCACTCGTGCAGCAAGTTCTTGGTCTTCCGCTTTCTACTGGTCCTCCTCCTTCTTTAGAGTGTCCACAGCCAGTCCCGTCACAGTTACAGTTGCAGCCTACCTCCCCTTTGCCTGCTCCTTCTCCCTACAGTGGTCCTAGTGGAGGTCTTACTGAGCGTTGTGAGCCTGCGTCTCGCCTTGCATCGCCTATCCGTGCTGCTCGCGCTAGTGGTCGTGGTTCGCGTCAGCGTCCTCCTCCTGTCCCTGGCACGCATAGGATGTCTCTGCGTCCGTCCACTGCTCCTCTGCGTGCCCCTTTGCCTTCTCCTCCTGAGTCCTCTCTTCCTGCTTTTGCCGACCCGGAGTCGGACTCTCTTCGTGCTGCTAGTCCTACTGTCACGCGTCTCCTGGCTACTGTTGTCACTGACCCTTCTTTCGAGTCCACTGCTGCGTCTGCCCTAGTTGCTGAGCTCGTCGACTTTGCTACTCGCTGTCGCCTAGACTACGCTGCTAGTCTTGTCGCTGAGTCTGAGTCTGTCTGTCCTCCATCCGTCGGGGGTGAGTGTGCCCTTGGCACAGACGTCCTTGAGGACAGGCAGGAGGAGTTCCAGTGCTTGGCCGCTGCTTCACCTCATCTCGTGTCCGTACTGCTTACCCCTGAGGGAGACCCGGATGCACTTGACATCCCGACTCCGCGCTCTTACGCGGAGGCGATAGAGGGTCCCTACTCTTCTCAGTGGCAGGCAGCTATGGATGCAGAGATGGCTTCCTGGAAGTCCACAGGCACCTACGTTGACGCTGTCCCCCCTCATGGGGCGAACATCGTCAGTGGCATGTGGATCTTCAGAGTGAAGCGGCCGCCGGGTTCTCCGCCTGTCTTCAAGGCGCGTTACGTGGCTCGTGGCTTCAGTCAGCGGTAGGGAGTTGACTACTTTCAGACCTTCTCTCCCACCCCGAAGATGACCACTCTTCGGGTACTTCTGCACGTTGCTGCTCACTGGGACTACGAGCATCACTCTCTCGACTTCAGCACAGCTTTCTTGCAGGGCAGCCTGCACGAGGAGATCTAGCTGCGCCGCCCACCTGGCTTCACTGGGTCTTTCCCTCCTAGTACCCAGTGGAGTCTCCGGCGTCCAGTCTACGGTCTCCGCCAGGCGCCACGTGAGTGGCATGACACACTGAGGACTATGCTTGCGGCTCTTGGCTTTGCTCCTTCTACTGCCGACCCGTCGCTGTTTCTGCGCACCGACACTTCTCTGCCGCCGTTCTACATCCTCGTGTACGTCGACGACTTGGTCTTTGCCACAGCTGACACTGCCGGACTCGCCTACGTGAAGTCCGAGCTGCAGAAGAGACACACGTGCACAGACCTGGGTGAACTGCGCAGCTACCTTGGCTTGCAGATCACCCGGGACAGAGCACGCCGCACCATTACCCTGACTCAGTCACACATGGTGCAGCAGGTCCTTCAGCGCTTCGGCTTCACGTACTCCTCGCCTCAGGCCACTCCTCTGCCTACTCGCCACTCGCTCTCAGCTCTGCCTTCGGATGAGTCCGTAGAGTCGAGTGGCCCGTATCCAGAGCTTGTTGGCTGCCTCAGGTACATGATGACCTGCACACGACCTGACCTTGCATACCCTCTTAGCATTCTCGCACGCTATGTTGCTCCTGGGAGACACCGACCAGAGCACATGGCTGCAGCGAAGAGGGTGTTGCGCTACTTGTGCAGTACGTCGGGCATGGGGCTAGTGCTTGGAGGGCGGAGTCCAGTGGTCCTCACTGGGCACGCTGACGCTTTTTGGGCTGACGACCAGGCTACGCAGCGGTCGTCACAGGGTTACACCTTCAGCCTTGGTTCCGGCTCTGTTTTGTGGCGGGCTACTCGCTCGTCTTCTGTTCTCGGCTCCAGATGTGAGGCTGAGATCTACGCCGGGGCCATGGCTGCTCAGGAGCTTCGCTGGCTCACCTACCTGCTGACCGACCTTGGAGAGTCGCCTCGTTCTCCTCCAGTCCTGTACGTAGACAACAAGGCCATGCTGGCCTTGTGTCGAGAGCAGAGACTGGAGCACAGAACAAAGCACATTGCTCTTCGCTACTTCCTTGCTCGTGAGCTACAGCAGCGTGGTCAGTTGCGGCTTGCGTACGTGGCCTCTGAGGCCAACACTGCTGATGTCTTCACCAAGGCACTTGCGCCTTGTGATCATCAGCGCTTCTGCACGCAGCTGGGTCTTGTGCCTGTCTTGCCTCACTTGCTCACCTCTTGACCTTGCTTGTACTGTTGCATATATATACACCTGCTCTAGCTTGTCTAGTCCTTTATATATATGTACTCTTGCATGTGAACTGGCCTTGTGGCCTTGAACTTGTGCTCAGAATGTGTGGTGACTTTGTGATCCACCCTGAGCTTGCTTTGCTTTGCTTTGCTTGACTGGTCTTGTGACCCCTTGTTCTCCCCCACTTTGCCTATGGGGGTGTGTCAGAACATATAGCTTGTGCTTATTGTGTAGGCTATAGTGGGGTAGCCCATAAGGGGTACAACCCAATTAGGGTTAGTACTTGTACTCAGTTCATTCATAGTTCATTCATTCTCGTTTCTTCTCACGCGCTGCCATTTCGTACGCCATTTTTAACCCAGCATGACGAGTATTTAAGACTAGTCGTAACTCTCTAACGTTGTAGGACGCGCATACTAGTGATCTTCAAGCGCATGTCAGAATGTTATCTCTAGTCCGCAGTGGGGTACTCTATAGTGAGTACAGCCCTGTTAGGGTTTGCTATATGTACTCAACTGCCTGCTAGTGAAAACCCCTCTTTTTGCCTATTCTCTCTTGCCTAGCTAGCTAAACCCTAGCTATGGCTCCTGCGTTCTAGCTGCTTTTGTGACATGCTATCAGAGCGATTACGCTCTTGGCATGTGGGCCCTCCTACTTCTGCTGCCATACTGTCTGTCGCGCGCCCCATGGTATGCGATGTTCATTTTTTTCTTCCCGCCACGCGCTCGGGGCGCGTGGCGGTTTTCTGCCCGCCATGCGCTCGGGGCGCGTGGCGGTTTCCTGCCCGCCGCGCGCCCCGGGCGTGCACAGCGGTTTCATCGCCCGACGCGGCGCCCCGGTGCCCGCGCGCTGTCCCCTCCCGTTGCCCGCCGCGGCGTCCCGGGGGCCCGCGCGTCGCCCCCCCCCCCCCCCCCCCCCCCCCCCTCCCGTCGCCCGTCGAAGCGCCCCGGGGGCCTGCGCGCTGTCCCCTCCCGTCGCCCGTCGTGGCGCCCCGGGGGCCCGCGCGTCGCCCCCTTTCCCGTCGCCCATCGTGGCGCCTTGGGGGCCCGCGCGTCACCCCCTCTCGTCGCCCGTCGTGACGTCCCGGGGGCCCGCGCGTCGCCCCTCCTCCCGTCGCCCGTCGAAGCGCCCCGGGGGCCTGCACGCAGCCCTGCCCGTCGCCCCCTGGGGGCGTTCATTTTGCGTGCATTTTCTCTTGATCGTTCTTAGTCAGCCTCGTATGCATACTCGCTATTATCACTTGTGTGGTGCGCTGCTTATGGTATTAGAGTATACATTCTCATGTCTTCAAGTCATGCTGCGTATTTATATAGCCATTAAACGGAGACATGTACCATGGCTGACAGGTAAGTGGCCGATCTTTCAAAAGTTGCCCCATTTCTAACTTGCGAATTCTGTGTTTTCTTGTCTGGTTAATGTCTCTTACGCTAACATCTACTTTTCTAGGCACCACTGATACCTCTCTGACAAAGTTTGAAGAAAGAAAAAAAGGGATTGAACTGTCAGATGATTATATTACTGATGCATATATTTAGGCTGTAGTGGGGTAGCCCATAGGGGGTACAACCCAATTAGGGTTGGTACTTGTACTTGTTTCATTTCAAAGTGCACCCATTTCCTCGCCTCTATCTCAACATGGTATCGAGCAGGTTCCCTAGTGGGAACTGTTCCTAAGGCCCACCTACTATTCCGTCCTGCCCGGAGCGCGCTCTGCCCTAGCCCGAGTCGCGCTGGGCCTTTTTTTCCTTTGGCGGCCCGATCGCGTCGAGCCGCCCGCGATTTTTTTTTTTTTTTGGCGCGCCACCTACGCGGCCTCGTCGCACCGCCCCTAGACGGCCGCGCCGCGTCGCGCGTGCCGCCCTCCGGTCGCGCGCCGCCCCCTCTGACCCTCGCGACGCCGGCACCGTCTCTGACGGCCCCGCGATCGCCTGCGACGGCCCCGCCGTCCCCTCTACCGGCCCCTCCACTACACTTGACGGCCCCGCCGTCCCCTCTGCCGGCCCCGCCGCTGCACTTGACGGCCCCGCCGTCCCCTCTGCCGGCCCCGCTGCTGCTTCAGACGGCCCCGCCGCTGCACCTGACGGCCCCGCCATCCCCTCTGACGGCCCCGCCGCTGCACCTAACGGCCCCGCCGTCCCCTCTGACGGCCCCGCCACTGCACCTACCGGCCCCGCCGCTACCCCTGATGGCCCCGCTGCTGCACCTGCCGGCCCCGCCGCCTCATCTGCAGGCCCCGCCGTCTCACCTGCCGGCCCCGCTGCTGTACCTGACGGCCCCGCCGCTTCACCTACCGGCCCCGCCACTACCCCTAACGGCCCCGCAGCTGCATCTCCCGGCCTCGCCGCCCCAGCAACTGCGCCGCCCCAGCAGCCGAGCCGCCCCAGCAGCCGAGCCGCCCCAGCAACCGAGCCGCCCCAGCAGCCGAGCCGCCCCAGCAGCCGAGCCGCCCCAGCAGCCGAGCCGCCCGAGCCGCCGAGCCGCCGAGCCGCCCGAGCCGCCCGAGCCGTCTGCACTGCCCAGTCTGGTGAGCACTGAGCTTTACTCTGCGCACTGCCCTCACCCTACTGCTGTCATGGCTACCCCCAGTGTCCTCACCTTCGACGCTGAGGGCAGAGCCATCGACTTTGACGTGTGGGTAGACGACCTGCTGCTTTTCCTACAGTGCGACAGAGCTGACGGCCTCTCTCTCTTTGATCTCACTTCTGGTGCCTCTCCCGCCCCTGCTGCTACTGAGGATGCGACTGTTCGCTCACAGTGGGCCACACGCGATGCTGCTGCACGTCTTGCTGTGCGTCGCCACCTCCCTCCCTCTGAGCGTGCACACTTTGGGTCGTACAAGAGTGCTCAGACCTTGTACGACGCCGTTATTGCACGCTACTCCACCCCTGCCACTGCTGCACTGAGCCGCCTCATGCTACCGTACCTCTTTCCCGACCTTGCTTCTTTTGCCACAGTCGCCGACCTCATTACCCACCTGCGCACTAGTGATGCTCGCTTCCGCGCTGCGCTTCCTGCTGAGTTCTGCGCCAAGAACCCCCCCCCCCCCAGTACTTCACTCTCTACTACATTGTCGCCCGCCTCCCTGACTCCCTTCGCGGAGTCAGGGACGACTTACTCTCAGTCTGCCCCACCACTCTCACTGTTGACCTCCTCGAGAAGTCCCTCCTAGCAGCCGAGAAGAGCATTCTCGCTGTAGGGGCCTCTCGTGGTGACCCGCGCACCCCCATCTTTGAGGGGTGTTCCCCCTCCCCCCTCCTGCCCTCTGTCGCCTCTGCTGCTACGGCCGACCTAGTTGGTTTTGAGTCGGTCGGTGCGGCGTCTGCCCCCAGTGGGAGACGTCGCTCTGGCAAGGGCAAGGGGGGCAGGAGCGGTGGTGGCGGCGGCGGGGGCGGTGGAGGCGGCGGTGGAGGCAGCGGAGGAGGTGGGGGTGGTAGCGGGAGTGGTGGCGGGAGTGGAGGTGTCAGCGGCGGCAGTGGAGGCGGGGGTGGCAGCGGCGGTGGTGGTGGGAGTGGAGGCGGAGGCGGCGGTGGCGGCAGCGACGGTGGGAGTGGCGGTGGCAGCGGAGGTGGTGGCGGCGGCGGCGGAGGAGGCGGCGGAGGAGGTCGTGGCTCGTCGCAGAGGAGTGGCTCCGGTGGCGGTCAGCGCCA